AGTGTGTTCAGCCCCAGAATGTCCTCTTCCTCGTTCTATCTCTGCCTTCCATTTGCCTTAACTCCTCTGCGCCCAGCACCGATGACACCATCGGGGACCTTAAGAAGCTCATCGCAGCCCAAACTGGCACCCGTTGGAACAAGATTGTCCTTAAGAAGTGGTGAGTGCAGCGGTAGAGCTGCGGGCTGGACAGGACTCGGCCAGAAGGTTTGGGTGGGGGAGTGCTGCGGGCAGCCCTTTGCTTAGACTGGGCTTACTCAGCCTGCCTCCAGGGTGAAGAGCCTCCTAGGCTTCTCTCTGAAACGTATCTATCCCATAGGTACACGATTTTTAAGGACCACGTGTCTCTGGGGGACTGTATCCTTTGTGGGACTTCTTGAGGAAGAATCTACATATCAGTCCTGGTTCTCTTTATTCAGTTCTGAAGTCTATATGAGATTATGCACATAAGGTGTTTAACTTGGTATGTAGCACATGGTAAACACTTATAAAATGGGAGCCATGTCACTGTTTTGTTGGGTAGGAGGGAGGTTGACTGGTGAAATAGTTTGACTTGGCTTAGAAGATTTTGACATTTTGGGCTGGCCTGTGGCTTACTTGGGAGAGCGTGGTGCTGACAACACCATGTAAAGGATTAAGATCCCCTTACCAGTCATCTTTTTTTTTTTTTAAAGAAGATTTTGATACTTCAAGTTCAAAATATTTATTACTGAGCTCTATCTGAGTGTTGGACAGGAGACCAGGGTGGATTAAGACTCAGGCACGTCGGGCTGGCCCGGTGGCGCACTGCTACAGTGCGCCGCTTGGGAGTGCGGTGGCGCTCCCGCCGAGGGTTCGGATCCCACATACAGACCGGTTCCCGCTCACTGGCTGAGCGAGGTGTGGGAGCAACACCGAGGGTTGCAATCCCGTTGCCGGTCCTGGTCCGGTACGGGCGCGACACTGAGGGTTGCGATCCATTGCCGGACACGAAAAAAGACAAAAAAAGGAAAAAAAAAAAAAAAGACTCAGGCACGTCTTTGTACCAAAGGAGCACGACCTTTTTTCATAGTTTGGATTCTCTCCAAATCAAAATGGCCCAGTCCAAAATGGCTTCCTTACCCTGGGCTGAGTCCTCAGTCTACCCTGTGAAAGGATGAGAGGGGTGGGGATGGAGCCCATAGTGAGGATTCCTTAACACCTTCACTTCAGATGAAATCCACGATGGGATGAACTTGGAACTTTATTACCAATAGAGCAGAATTCCTTCCCCCTGCCCTACCCTCCTCTCCCAGCCTCACCCTCCCACACTGGTAATGGATGCTTGTTTTTAAAAATTCATGTTAATAAAAACTTAGATGCTGCTCTGTTGTTGCCATCTTTTGGTGAGAACTAGCTAATGACAGGACGGTTGCTGTCTATCTGGTTGTCACTATACCATCAGTATGTAACTGCTCAGTAAGCTTCAGATTGACTGGATCAATGAGGGAGGAGAAGACCAGCAGAGTGGGAGCCCAGAGCTCTGGGGTTTGCTGTGGGTCTGTAAAGGTCAAGAGACTGTGAGAATACTGTCATCCTAACAGAACAAGAAGTCTTGGTAGGGACAGTAGATGTAGTGTTAGGAATACAGGCTCTGAATTCAGAGCATGGGTGGAATGTCAATTCTGCCACCAAAAGCTGAGTGACCCTGGGCAAGTTACTTAGCCTCCCCCTAAGCCTTCATTTCCTTATCCAAACTGGAAGTGATCGTGTTTACTTAATGTCTGCTTTGTTGGCATATTGTGAAGTGTAGATGAGGTAAAGCATGTTTCCACATCACAGTTCCTGGCACTTTTTTTGAGGGGGGGGGTGGCTAGCCAGTAGGGGGATCTGAACCCTTGACCTTGGTGTTATCAGCACCACGCTCTACTGATTGAGCTATCGGGCCAGCCCCTGGCACTTCTTTTCAAGACAAAAATTAGATCGTAGTAGACAGGTAGGCAGTGTGGCACTGGCTATAGGAGCCCAGCTTCGAGAGTCAGAGCAACTGGGTTTGAATCCAGACTGATCATTAGCAATGGGATTCAGGGAAGTGAGCCTCTCTGATCCTGTTTCCTCCTCTAAAAAGGGGCACCATGCTGGTACCCACATCTCAATGTGATAGTGCAATTAAAATTGCATGATGCCTGGCACATAGGATTATGAGCTGTCCTCAGTCTTCTTCCTCCAGGTGTGAGTAGACAGAAGACCAAATTTCCTAACTCTGTTCCCCTGGCCACAGATCCTGGTGTCTGTCTTGGCCCTATCCTCTCACAGAGCAGGAGAGGGACCTGGGCACAGCCTCATTCTGGAGCCCTTCTCGAGGGCCTCATGCAGAGCCATGCTCCATCCATTCTCCCCTCTCCTGTGTTGACCCAGCTGCTCCTCCCCTCCCACAAGTTCCACACAGCCTTCTACCTGCCTTTCACCACCAAGCTTCTTGGGAGGTGGACCTGCCTGCTGCCTGGGGTGCTGCTGGCCCGTAGCTCATGGAGGATGGTCTCTCCTTGGTCTCCATTAGCTACCTCCCTATCCACTCCCATGGCTTCCCTGCTGTCTCTAGGACTCTGCTTGCTTCTGACTTGCCAGAAATGTCTCCCCTGGTACCTTTGCTCTTTCTACACTTATAGCTGTTTCCCCCTTACCTGTCTATTTAAAAATAAACAAAAGAAAAATTTTAATTACATGACAGATTTAACAAGGTGTTTCCTTAATTTCAAATCAGCATAGAAGGCTAAATGTAAAACTTCTCGCCTTACCTGTTCTCACTCCTAGGGCAGGCCTTTTTCAATGCATTTAGATAAACTTCAGTTTTATTTTTAAAAGATGACTATGCTAATATGCTGGTTAAAAAAGCCCAGGGATGGACAGTTAGCTCAGTTAGTGGTGTTATAACAAGGGTTTGGATCCCCATACCAGCCAGTTACAAAAAAAAATCCAAATGTTTTGTCAAAAATTTAGTTTCTTACTTTTAACACCACTCCTCCCACCAGTGGCAGAATGATATATGTTTGAGTAAATCTAGAAATTTCCTGAAATAACCTAGAGTTTTTATACAATGGGGATGATACAGTCTGTCATATTCCTATACCATTCAACATCTTGCTTTTTATGCTTTATTTTTTGGTATCTTTCCATATAAATTATCTGTCTTTTTAATTAATTTTTTATTGATTTTTTTGTTTAATTGTTTTGCTTTTTTATAAAAAAGAGCAGTACAGGGGGATTTTTATGGTGATGGAAATGGCTTGTATGGACCAGTGATCCTTCAGTAGTGCTGAGCATACCTGATACCCAGATCTTGGTTTCTAAATAACACTCTCCAATAAAAGGAACCTGGGTTTCTTGGAGAAGTGATTGGTTTCAGGGCTGGGGCAAGGAAAATATAAGTTGAGACTGGAGCATCTTGTGGTGCCAGAAAGTACAAGTGCTGAAGTAAAAAGAATGGGAGCATATTGAAAGAGCATAAGAGCCAGGCTGTGAAAGAATTCCCAATGGACATAAACAACTTGAGCAACAGAATGATAGTACTGGACTATAACCCAAAGAATAAAATAAATATTCTGGAGCTCATACTAATATCAATAACTGAATATGTAAATGAATGGGGGAGAAGGGGCAACTCCTCATTACAGAAAGATTCTAATTCATAAATGTAGAAGGAAATAAGAAATGGTCATTGGAGCATCATAGTAATCATTGCTGTAGGCAAGATGCACTGGTAGATGCTCAAATTAGTGGATGAAAGTTTAGGCTGGCTGGTTAGCTTAGCTGGTTAGAGCATGGTGTTGTAACACCAAGGTAAGGGACAGCCACCAAAAAAGTTTAAAGTTTAAGCAGAAGTAGGATATTTGCATAGTCTCAAAGTATCTCCCTTACAGTACTTATTCATAACAAAGAGAAAAATAGTAAGTTGAGATACTGCCTTTAATCAATTGATCAAAGTTATCACAAGTATGGTGTGTGGCCTCCAAGATGACCCTTAATGATCCCCATATCCTGTATTCACATCCTTGAGTCAAATGTGTGCCCCAAAAGTTCATGTGTTGGAAACCTAATCTCCATTGTAACCCTGTTAAGAGGGTGGGAAACCCAATTAATAGTATTTGAAAGGTGGGGCCTTTTAAGAGGTGATTAGATTATGACACTGCCCTAGCGAATGGATCGATCCATTCATAGAATGGTGGGTTGATGGTTAATGGATGGTCTTGGGTGTGGTTCTGATGGCTTTATAAGGAGAGTGGGTGAGCAGGTTAGCACTCTTGCTCAGCCCATTCTTACTATGTGATACTCTGCATTACTCTATAGAGGAAGGCCTCTACCAGATGTGGTCTCTGGACTTTTGACTTCCCAGCCTCTAAAACTGGGGTTTGGAAGCAGATCCTACCCCAGTCAGGCCTTCAGATGAGGCAACAACCACTCCTACTGACACCATCTAAACTGTGCCTAGATTTCCAACCCACAGAAACTGTGTGATAATAAATGTTAATCTGCTGAATTGTGGAATAATTTGTTATGCATCAGTAGATACTTCAATACAAATAGTAATGTATTTCAACACGATCGACCACCTGCTAGGCTGCACTGAGAAGGGTACATGGTCTCTGTCATATCCTTCCCCAATAACATATAACCTCAATCTAATCATAAGAAAATATCAGGCAAAACCATCCTGGAACATAAAGAGAACAGCAGTGGAAAAGCCTGGGGGGTGGGGGTGGGGAGTCTACTTTGTAGTTTAGTTAATAGTTTTCTCAGTGTCGATTTCTCAGTTTTGATAATTATTCTGTGGCAAGGTTTCTGAGCTTTGGCACTGTTGACATTTTAGGTTGAATAATTCTTTGTTGTGACTGTGCATTCCAGGATGTTTACCAACATCCTTGGTCTCTAATACTAAATGCTGGAAGCATCTCCTACCCCCCATTTGTGACAACCAAAAATGTCTTAAGACAATGTCCCCTGGAGAACAAAATCACTCGTGGATGAGAACCTCTGTTCTATTATTATGTAAGAGGCTAGTATAGGGAAGGCTGGATGAAGGGTACATGAAAACTCCTACTGCTTTTGTAATTCTGCCCTAAGTCTAAAATTATCTTTTAAAAAGGAGGCTATTCTTATACTAATATATGCTTATTTTTAAAAAATCAAAATATTGGGCCGGCCCGTGGCTCACTCGGTAGAGTGCGGTGCTGATAACACCAAGGCCATGGGTTCGGATCCTATATAGGGATGGCCAGTTTGCTCACTGGCTGAGCGTGGTGCTGACAACACCAAGCCAAGGGTTGAGATCCCCTTACCGGTCATCTTTAAAAAAAAAAAAAAAAAAAATCAAAATATTATATTAAAACTTAAGTTCCTCATATCTTTCTTCACCTGCATCACCAGTGGTATTCACAAACACATTTGAATGAATCCAGAAATTTTCTGTGACATAAAACCTATAGTTTTTACGTCACCAATAATGAATCATACTCTAATACTCATACTGTTCAGCAGCTTTCCTTTTTTTTTTTCTTTTTCTTCTTTTTTGGTGCCTGGCCCCGGGGTGAGGCCGGCCAGGGGCGGGGCCCGGGAAAAACATGCGTTGGCCCGCCCACCCTCGCTCTTGCCCAATAGGGAGCCAGAGAACCAATCCGGACGGTTGGGGCGTCCAATGAGCGCCTCCTCCAGGCCAGGTGCAGGACGCGCTGAGCCAATCGGCCGGAGTGGCGGGCGGGTGCGGGCGACAGGCGGCGCGGCGGAGGCGGGTCGGGCGCTGCGGCAGGAGGGAAGATGGCGGACGAGGAGAAGCTGCCTCCCGGCTGGGAGAAGCGCATGAGCCGCAGCTCAGGTTCCGCGGGGATCGGGGCTGGGGCGGGTACACGAGAGCAGGGCTCGAGCTCGCCCCTCGGGCGCGGCAATACCGCCGTCTCCCTCCCGTGGGGTCTTAACTTCTCCGCGTCGTCTCCGGGTTAACGGCCCCGGCCCGCCCCGTGGGGGCTGCGAGCCTCCGAAGCCGGGAAGCCGGAGGAAACTGAGGCAGGGGGTGCGGCGGGTGAGGGGGCCGGGGAGCCCCGCGGCACTCCCCTGCCCGGCTGACCCCTCTCGGCCTAACGCGCCTGACGCCCTGGGGAGCGTCTCTGCATCCGCTGGGCCCCGGGGGCACCCCTGGGAGGGGGCCACACTAATACTGTGCAAAGATGGGAGCCCGAGGGTGTTGCCCGGCCTCGGGTCCACGACCTGCGTCTACTAACACCCCTACCATCCGCACCTAATGCTGAGTCTGCGATATCCGCTGGTGATATTCTGCCTGAGGGACGGCCCCTGTGCTCGGGGCTCGATGTAAGCCTTAGACGCAGTAATAATG